TTCAGGGGAAGGTCAGAGAGGCTGCCGGGACCGTCGGGCGCGCGGCTCCCGCTACTCACCTGTGGAGTCTACAGCGTTCCTCATCCTCAGGGACTGGAGATACCACTCGGCATCCGGCGCCGAGATGTCGTCATCAAGCTGCGCGTCGCGCCACGCCCCCCTGGCCTGGCGGGAAACGCGCCGCCACCTCCTTCGGCAGCGACTTGGACCTCAAAAGGCGCATGCGCAAAGCGAAGGCTGGCGGGGTTTAGTGGTTTCACGGGTGTGAGTGCGTGCGCAGGGGAGGCCTGAGCTCACGCACTGTAAGCGAGACGAGGAGGGCGCGTGCGCGTAAGGAGAGGCTGTTAAGTAGGGCCCTCGGGGCGCGCCCCCAATGGAGCATAGGGGCCAGGAGCGATTATACACTGTGCACTGACGGCCCTTCGTCCCGCAGGCATTTATTGAGCGCCCACTGTATGTCAGGCACTGCGCTGGATGTTGCTACTTAAGCGAGAACGACACATGCAACCTAGCAGGGAAGTCCTGATCGCCAAAGAGCGGGTCTCTTTGGCCTGCCACGGTCTCCACCACGCCTAACACACCGCCCGGCACGTAAATGTGGATCGAATGAAGGAGGGAAGACGAGCTGTTCCCTGCCCTCCAGTGCAGGGCTGTCCGGAGGCCAGACGGTGACGCTGCGGGGAGAGGAACAGCCGGCGGGGCCAGTACGCTACAGAAGCTCGTGCTGCGGCGGAAGAAAGTGCTGAGTGCCGAGGAGATGGAGCTGTACGAGCTGGCGCAGGCGGCGGGCGGCGCCATGGATCCCGACGTGTTCAAGTGAGCGGGCGCGGGTGGAGGCTGCGCGCTGGTCCAACCCCCAGACAACCCGGCTCTTAGCCCCCGCCAGGCCACTGATCTGTATATTAGAGCCTCCCGTCCTTGTCGCGACCCTCTGGGGGCCCAGAGTAGAGTCGGGACCTTGACAAAGGTGGCCCTCCTGGACCTAGTGCCAGTCTGGTAGCCATGCCCGCCCGGTCTCGCCCGAGCAGACGGGCCGGGGGACCAGTAGGGCTCACTGCGCACCGCATCTGTTCTCACCAGGATCCTGGTGGACCTGCTGAAGCTGAACGTCGCGCCCCTCGCAGTCTTCCAGATGCTCAAATCCATGTGTGCCGGGCAGAGGCTGGCGAGCGAGCCCCAGGATCCTGCTGCAGTGTCCCTGCCTACATCGAGCGTGCCTGAGACCCGAGGTCAGCTGGGGTGCTCTCTGCCCCTGTGACCCAGGCGGCGGGGTGGCAGGGGCCAGGAGGTGGGCAGTGCCAGGCACAGCGGGCTACACCCTCAGTGGTCTGGCCTTTCTGTAGGTCTTCTCCCATGGCCCACTGGCCCCATCCGAGGGCTCTCCCATTTGGTGCAGTCCCCAGCTTTGGCTTCAATGCTAGCCTTGAGAGAGCAGGTCTGGATCAGATGGAGGCGGAATGGGTGCCCCAACGTGGCCCAAGCAGGCTAGGCCTCATCTGACACAGCCTCTTCTCACCTCATACCTCATGCCTTCATACCACAAATACAGGGACAAGACTGCTTTGGTTCCTGTTCTCATGGTGTGTACACTCTCCAGGGAAGTGCTCAGGGAGTGGGCAAGCAGAGAGGCTTTCCTACAACCCACTCCCCCTCACCCAGCTCCAGACCCTGCCCAGGAGTCAGTGTGGCAGTCCTGGCTGCCCTGGGCACTCAGGGTGCAGAGGCTCGAGTGGCAGAGCACTGGGCTCAGGCTTGAGGGGCCTCCTCACGCTCAAGGATTAGGAACAGGTGCTGGTGATGAGAATGTCAAGGCAGAGCTCCCTGTGTCACTTCTGCCCCTGATGACTGCCAGAAACCCTCTGTCATGCAGCAGAACCTCCTGGGCTGGCTCCTTGGCCAGAACACTCAGGCACTTACAGGCATCCTGAGAAGCAGCTGACACGAGTGGAGGGCAGGCTGGCCCCTTTGGGTGGGAGTGCCAGGGCCCCAGGCACTCAGCCCCCTTTCCTGAGAGGCGCTGGGCTTCCTCACTGACCCATGCTCCGTCTGCTCTCTTTGTGTCTCTCTCTGACCTGCAGAGGCCTCCTTTCTCTTTGCCAAGAACTGTAGCCCCCCTGCAAGGGCCTCCTTTTCCTCAGCCCTGCGGCCTGCGGCCTCTCCGGTTCTGCACCACAGCCCAGCTGCCACGCACTCGCCTCTCTCTCCAGGGCCCCCCGGTTCCCTCCGGTTCTCTTGCTGCCTGTTCTCTCCTTTTGCAGGTTGCATTTATTGGTTTATCTCTGGGGGTTGTTGTGCTCTCTTGTTTCCATGGAAACTGCTGTGGCCCAAGAAAGCCAGAACAGCTGCTAGCTGCAAGGGCAGGGTCCTGCTGGCCATCTCTGCCATGCAGCTTAGAGACTGAAGACACAATTTCATGGTTTATTAAGAGACAACCTGCGGTACCCCTAACCCCCCCCAGAGACTAACTCTGCTGGGTGAGACTTGTGCTCTACAGAGGTGCCCCTGCCCCAGAGGAGAAGAGGCTGAGGGGCAGGGAAGATGCTACAGAAGACCTAATTCTGCTTGGCCTGGCCTGGGAGGTGCTATGGCGTCCGAGCTGGGCACTAGCATGTTGGGAGACGCTGTGGGGTGGCGGGGCTCATAGGGATACTTGCACGCTGACCAGAATATTGGCATTTGTACCAAAGAAAATGTGGATGACAGTTCTCTTTGTATCTGTTTTTTGTGAGTCCCTGGCCTTGTCGGATTTAAAGGCAGGCTGAGTTGACTCAGCTTCACCCCACAACATGCTCCTGTCTGCTCCCCCTCGGCCCTGGGTAACCTGTTATTATATCTCTGTTGAATCAAATGCACACGAGCACTTGAGTGTGAAGACCAGGGAGGCGAGGCAGAGGAATCCTGAATTGTCCAAGTTCCAGAGGAAGAACCAATGTAACCCTCCCCACCACACCGGGCAGCAAAGACCCCACTCTCTGAGGAAGTACTTTCCAGAAATTCTCCTAAGAAGGGCTGTCATAGCCCTGCAGGAATCCTGGGAAGAACTTAGTTGTCAGTCTTGGAGAGCATGGAAAGCGAGTCTGATGTTCTATAGAAGCCAGGATCTGCAGTTTCAAAGGCAGGTGCCTCTAAAAACAGAAATGATTTAACAGGCCCCTAAGAAACTTTGTTACATCTTTTCTCCAACAATTCATAATTTCCCTAAGGCAGGCTATTTGACCCTGAACCCTGAAGGAGAGTAGGGGTCAAGCAAGCGACAGGAATGCTGGTCAAAGCCCACAGGGCAGACCTTGGCTGAAGCTGGCCCAGAAGAGGGACTGAACTGGTGAGTGAGCCTGGTCCACCAGTACATTTTGTCCCCTGGAGGGTCCTCTTAGTCTTGTTGATGCTGTCAACATTCGGACCTCAGGGAAGTCAACCATCTTACCTAATAGACAAACATGTAAATTGACCGTACCTTCGCTACGTTAACCAGCCAATCAGGAGTATGCAAATTAACCCGACAAAGATGGCGGTTAATTTGCATACGTAGGCTCCAAGCGGGAGTGAAGCCTGACGGCCCCGGGGCTGGAGCAGCAAAGCCTGAAGGCTCCGGGGCCGGCTCCAGCCAGAGCGAAGGCCTGGGTCCCAGGTGCCAGAGGCAAACCGGTGCCAGCAGCCAAGGGAAGGGAAGGCCTATTGCACGAATCTCTTCATGCAACAGGCCTCTAGTTTAAAATAAAACTCTAGTCCAGGTGTGGTTACAGGTATGCCTGTCGTCTACACACACACACACACGAGAGAGAGAGAGAGAGAAAGAGAGAGAGAGAATAAAGTAAGCAAATTACAAATCAAGGAACAGACCAGTGTCTCCATCCAAGTGTGACTACCTAGTGGTCAGGGCAAGTCTTGAGCAGTCAAGCCTCTGCAGGACCCAACCTGAGTGAACCTGAGAGCAAGAAGCTTGACCACTGGATGTTTGCAGGATACTGAGGGAGGGAGGAAAACAGGAGAAAGAGCTTCCAAGATCCAAGTTCAAAAGCCTGACTTCATCATCTGTTGATGACGCCTGTGCTTCCAGTGTTGTCTGATGGGCTGAAACATGGATAATCCAGAGGAGAGGAGAGTGCCTTGGGGGGACAATGAGATAGCAGCTCTACTGATAGTGAGCCCTCCTGTGCTGCAGGCAGTGGTAGCTCACCACAAAAGCTTCCTAGGGCAGGAGTCAAGAAGCTGAGCTTCCCTGCCCCTAAACTGACCATCCACACTCCCACCCCACCCCTTCATTCTAGGACACCCTCCAGGGCCTCCTGCATTCCGCCAAGGTCTGCTCTTGGATGTGCCATCTGTAGGCAGCCTTTGAGCTTCAGAACCCTGGGCTGAGACAGGGTCCCCGGCTGAAAGTACTGTGCTAGAAACATACTAGATGTAAATGTTGCTCAAGAAACACAGAGATGGCCCTTGCTGGTATGGCTCATGGATAGAACGTTGGCCTGTGGACTAAAGGGTCCCAGGTTTGATTCCGGCCAAGGGCACATGCCCAGGTTGCAGGCTCGGTCCCCAGTAGGGGGTGTGAAGGAGGCAGCCGATCAATGATTCTCTCTGATCATTGATGTTTCTATCTGTCTCTCCCTCTCTCTTCCTCTCTGAAATCAATAAATTAAAAAAATAAAGAAACACAGAGATGCACTGTGATTGTGGAGTTTGTCCTGGTTCCTAATGATTGTCTTCTGTGTCTGCTCAGGGAGAAACAAAAGCAGCACTGCTCTTGGTGGAGGCCCCACTCTGGCAGAACGAAGCTGCCGGGAAGGATCCAGCCAGAGGATGCCCCGACAGCCCAGTGCTACCAGGCTGCCCAAGGGGGCAGGGCCTGGGAAGAGCCCCACTCGGAGCAGTACCTGAACCAAGCAGACCACCTGCTATGGGCTCCACCAGCCTCCTAGCAGAGGTTATGCATGAATTCCCCCAGTTGGTAATAAACCTTTTGTAAAAAATTCATGGTCTATTCAAGATGTTTTCTATCACATTTTCAATATATTAAAGCACAAATATTTAGAATTAGTTCTGTTGCTCATCCTGGTTGTGCTACAGCTGAACCAACCAAGTGACTTAAACTAGTGACTTCACCCTCATGGACCTCATTTCAACATGTTTTGCTTGAGACCATTCTTGGGGTGCTCAGGTGCAATGGGAGCAGGGGTTTAAAGTACGGAGGGGGGAACACTGTCAGGTTACACAGACAGGACAGGAATGAATTTTTAGGGCTTCTAACCTTCTGTGGGTTATGCATGCCATTAAAGAATTCAATAAAACCTCTTACCCCCAAAATGCCCTGGCCTTACACATGTGACCCAGAGTTTTAGGGATTCTGTGGACACCCTCCCCCCCTTCCATGGGCTTCAGATTTTAAAACTCCAGTTCTGGCCGGCTGGTGTTGCTCAGTGGTTGAGCATCAACCTATGAACCAGAAGGTCCCAATTCGATTCCCAGTTAGGGCACATGCCCGGGTTGTGGGCTCCGTCCCCAATGGGGGGCGTGCAGAAGGCAGCCGATCAATGATTCTCTCTCATTACTGGTGTTTCTATCTCTCCCTCTCCCTGCCTCTCTGAAACAAGTAAAAATATATTTAAAACTCCAGTTCCAAGCTTTTGTACTTTAGCCCCCATGTCCCATCAGTGGACAGGCCTGAAAAATGGCAAATTCAATGGAAAAATCTAACTCAATTTTCCTAGACTTGAGTAAATGTTAACGCTTCGAAATCTTGGATTGGAAATATTGACTGTTTCCCCAAAGTTATATCATGTAAGCAGTAGCTCCTTACAGGTGTGGGTAGTGCTACACCCACCCCAAAGCACAGCACCGTGTAGCCCAGACCAGGCCGGGCAGGCTATGCACTCCTGTGGGCAGACAGGTTTGACACAGAAACTTTAATAACCAACAACTTGAAACCAGTAGAGCTGAGGGGTGACAAGAGAGAACAGAAGAGAGGTAGACCCGCCAGCCGCACGCTCCCATTCAGTATTCTTCCCCTTCTTCAGCCTCAGCTTCCACGGAATCCACGCCCACCTCTTCATAATCTTTCTCCAGAGCTGCCAGGTCCTCCCGGGCCTCGGAGAACTCCCCTTCCTCCATGCCCTCCCCCACATACCAGTGCACAAAGGCTCGCTTTGCATACATGAGATCGAACTTATGGTCCAGGCGGGCCCAGGCCTCGGCGATGGCGGTGGTGTTGCTCAGCATGCACACAGCCCGCTGCACCTTGGCCAGGTCTCCTCCAGGGACGACGGTGGGGGGCTGGTAGTTGATGCCTACCTGCCAGAGAAGGGGAATAAAGCGCTGTGTGAAGCTTCCTTCAAACCCAGAAATGGTGGCTACTTTCCCAGAAACGGAAGGCAGGTAGGCACCCTCTGGTGACCTGACAGAAGGCTTAGTTCAATCTGCAGTCTCTGAGCCCTTCTTTGTGCCAAGCAAGGTGATGGTTTCCAGACAAGGAAAGACAAGTGTCCAGAGCCGCTACGCTGGCTCAGTCCCAGCTGCCTGAGGGGCTGCCCAGCAACTATGCCATGTGATAGGCACCCTGGTGATTCAACTGTCTTCCTTCTGAGGAAGGACACCATCCTGGATTCTTCATAGGTTACTTTCTCCATAGGCTTCAAGAGGAGAACTGATCTCCATGGGGGAAGCCTTTCTCACCTAGTTCACAACCGTGATGGTACTGCAAGGGAAGATCATAGTCCTGCTTTCCCACCAAATAATCAGTGTGTGTATAGCAGAGTGACAGGTACACTGCCAGAGGACCTAGAACCACTGCTTGGACTACAACAGCAGGTGATCTGTGTGTGTGCTAAGTAGGAGGGAGGGGTAACATTCCAGGGCTCGGACCAAGGCGAGGCATTCCAGGCTTCAGGGGAGAGAGGGCCAGAGGTATTGGCAGCAGAATACAAACAGGTTCAGCTAGAGTTAGGGTCAGCAAACTTTGTCTATAAAGGGTGAGACAGTATGTATTCTATGCTGGGTGGGCCATGCACTGTCACAGCCACTCAATTATGTCTTTGTAGCACAAAAGCAGCCACAACAATAGGCCACTGAATGAGTGTGACTGTGTTCAGGTTAAACTTTACATAATCAGGCACTTGTCCACCAACCACCCTGCTCCCTGAACTAGAGGAAGAGAACCCAGTGTAGGAAGTCCTAGTTAAGAACACAGCACAGGCTCTGGCTGGGTGGCTCAGATGGTTGGAACGTCATCCCATATACAAAAGGTGGTGGGTTCGATTCCCAGTCAGGGCACATATCCGGGTTGCAGGTTCGAACCCTGGTTGGAGAATGTGCGGGAGGCAACCAATCTCACATCGGTGTTTCTCACATCGATGTTTCTCTCACTCTAAAATCCTCCCCCCCGACCTCCTGCAAAAGAAGAACCCAGCACAGCAGGCCCACTAGAAGCAGTTGCGGGTCTGAGCCAGAGGAGGCAGCATGAGAAGCAAGGGAAACACAGATCCCGGAGGGAAAGAGCAGACAGGGTTCAGTAATCAAGGACAGAACAAAGCAAGTTTTTGTCTCTGTATCAAATGAAAGGCTGGTACAAACTGGGGGCTTGAGGCAAACTCAGGCCAGAATTTCTAGGCTTAGTGAGAGAAATAAAAGCATGTTGCCTTTTTTTTTTCCAACAAAGATATTCATAATAATTTTTCACTAAATCAAACACTTCATAGGACATTTAAATTGGGTTTAATTTCTACATACCTATGGAATCAAGTGGGATTTAATGACACCAATAGTAATATCCCAATTTCAAATTTTAACATTACCAAAATGCCCAGAGACTTCTTCTTATAAGAAAAAAAAAATCATATTTCTCAGGTTAATAAACATTTCCCACACTAATTCCACCACCTGAACAGGGGAACAGAGATCCTTCAGAAAATTTCAGGTTCTATTAAAAAATATTCTTGCGCCACAGATAAACAGTGTGATGACTCAGGAGGGAAGTTCAAAAGACACCACTGGATAAATGATCACTCTGGTACACTAACTGATGACCAAGAGCCCAGCTGCCATGGAACGGGGTATTCTCCACAAGGGCAGCATCCTATCGCAGGGTCTGCTGCATGCTAAAAGGTAAACCCACTCGTTAACACCCAGTCCTACCTTAAATCCCGTTGGGCACCAATCCACAAACTGGATGGTGCGCTTGGTCTTGATGGTGGCGATGGCCGCGTTGACATCTTTCGGGACCACGTCCCCCCGGTACAACATGCAGCAGGCCATGTACTTGCCATGGCGAGGGTCACACTTGACCATCTGGTTGGCAGGCTCAAAGCAGGCGTTGGTGATCTCAGCCACGGACAGCTGCTCATGGTAGGCCTTCTCAGCTGAGATGACTGGGGCGTAGGTGGCCAGGGGGAAGTGGATGCGGGGGTACGGGACCAGGTTGGTCTGGAATTCCGTCAAGTCCACGTTCAGGGCCCCATCAAAGCGCAGGGAGGCCGTGATGGAGGACACGATCTGCCCAATCAGACGATTGAGGTTGGTGTAGGTGGGCCGCTCAATGTCCAGGTTGCGCCGACATATGTCATAGATGGCTTCGTTGTCCACCATGAAGGCACAGTCGGAATGCTCCAGGGTCGTGTGGGTGGTCAGGATGGAGTTGTAGGGCTCCACCACGGCCGTGGACACCTGGGGGGCTGGGTAAATGGCAAACTCTAGCTTGGACTTCTTGCCGTAGTCAACCGAGAGCCGTTCCATAAGCAGAGATGCAAACCCAGAGCCGGTGCCGCCCCCGAAGCTGTGGAAGATGAGGAAGCCCTGCAGCCCCGTGCACAGATCCGCCTGAGAGAAAGCAGAGACCGTGAGCAATGCCTTTCGAAGCCACACCGCCAACCTCCCACAAGCCTAGGTCACTTCACTTTGACTCCACAAGGTTAAATGGATCCTAGTCACCCCAGGTAACATGCATTCCATGGAAGGGGAGGCAAAGCAGACAGAGAGATGTACGGATGGATGCACTGCAGCCACACCAGGAAGGAGGACCATGGGTTCATGATTCTGCCTTGGGTTTTGCCAAAATGACCCTGGAAGGCTTCCCAGCACCTTCTTACCAACTTGCGGATCCGGTCCAGGACCAGGTCAACAATCTCCTTGCCGATGGTGTAATGGCCTCTGGCGTAATTATTGGCTGCATCTTCCTTCCCGGTGATCAGTTGCTCAGGGTGGAAGAGCTGCCTGTAGGTCCCTGTGCGCACTTCATCTACAAAGAGGACACATGTGCCATGGCCTTTAAGGATGATTGTTAACTCACCAGCATGGACAGATGTGGGGACCATTCAATTCTACCAAGCACGTGCTGTTCCTGGTAGGTCAACAGCATCAGTGTATCACAGGGAGGCCCTACGTAATACACAGAGCACATCTGCAATCCATGGCTCTAGGGAGGTAAACTCAACTCACGGCACAAATACCAGCTTGACCGGTTCCCAAAGAAGAGAACAGAGCGCTCACCCCTGCACACAAGACTACATGTGCATATTTCTTTCACACCAAATGGTATAATTTTAAAAATGTTTCATACTGGACAGTCACTAGGTCAGTGTGCTTTTTGCCAGGCGGTCCTATCAGGGCACCTGTGTGGCCTGGTCTCAGACTTTAGGGTGACATTCTGTCACCTCTGGGTGACCACTGACAGGTCTGCCTTTGCAGCTCTCCTCAGGCTTCTAATCTGGAGGGACCCAATGAATGTTCTCTACTTACCTTTCTATGTCTGAGACGCAGGTTAAGACTCTTGTGCACCAGCTGAGAGAGTGCACAGCATTAAGGTGACCACCTACCTGGGGCTGAGGCAGTCATGAATGAATCTGTCATAGCCCAGCTTACTCCTGGCAAAGCAGCTTTTTTCTGTAATGTTAGGTTTTCCTAAATCAGTAGCTCGAGCTCCACATTTCAAGCACTAACCTTTCAGTTTCTCGCCTAACATGGTCATGGCTTACCTGTGTGTCCAT